GGTGTGGCATAGCTGGGTGGTTTCTGGTTGTTTCATATGAGATCACAGTCAAGATACCAGCCATGGCTTCAGTTTCTGAACCCTGGACTGGGTGCTGGAAAATCTGCTTCCAAGCTTAGGTGACTGTTGTCGGGAGGCTTCCTATGTGGCCACTCCATAGGACTGATCATACCTTTGCTCAGAGAAAATCTCAGATGGCATAATGTCACCTGTACCATATTGTTCCACGGATCAACTCTGGTATAAGAGAAAACTATACAAAGCTGTGCCTACCAAAAGGTAATGCCCACTGGGAGCCCACTTGGAAGCTGGCTGCTACCTCTAAAACACAAATGGTTGGAAATAATAGTTTAGTAATGTGGTCGGATATAAGATGGATATACAAAAATAGATTACATTTTTACATATCAGAGGCAAAGCATGAGGACATATTGTGTGTGTGTGTGTGTGTGTGTGTGTTGCTAGGAATTTTTTTAAATAAAAATAAATGGAGCCATAGTTAACTCTGTGAATAGAAAGGCTTAATGTAATAAATGTGTCCATTCTTTCCAAATTCCATCTAAGAGTACAAAGTAGTTTAATCAAAATCCTCTCTGGGGGGCTGGGGTTGTGGCTCAGTGGTAGAGCGCTTGCCTAGCATGTGTGAGGCCCTGGGTTCAATTCTCAGCACCACATAAAAAAATAAATAAAGATGTCCATTTATAGCTAAAAAATATTTTTTTAAAAAAATCCTATCTGGATTTTCATGAAATGTGACAGGTTGATTCTAAAACATTTATGAGAGCCCTAAGAGTCAAGAATATAGTAAGATATTTCTGAGGAAGACAGATAGGGACAGAGGACTTACCCTATAATTAACAAGATTTATTATGAATCTATTTAAACTTATGTAAGTATATCATGTTGTATATATAGCTACATAATAGGTTAAAAGCTATATAAGTAAGCTATAAAGCTATGTATTTAAAATGTTGTCATATTGGGTAGAAATAGACAAACTAAGCAATAAAACACAAAAGAGGGCCTAGAACCAGCACATTGCACTTTTATTTGATATACCTGGTATATCAAGTGGACTCCCACCTCCTCCCTGTTGCAGCACATGGCTTGTTTCCCAGCAGTACCTTTAACCACCTGCAATCACCCCAGTTGATGGCGGTCTCTCCCGTGCAGGAGAGCAGTGTGAACCTCATACCTTGCATGCCACCAGGGCTGCCTTTGCAAGTGCCATCACAAAAGTGTTCTGTAAACACCAAATGAATGAATGAAAAACTCAAGAAATGTGTATTTCTGGAGAATTTTCTGATGATTGTGAGTCTTCCTGCTGTGTGTATTCCAAAACTTTCCATGGGCCCTAGAGAGGGCTGTGTACCTTATGTGGTGTTTTGGTGTCTTGCTGAACTGCCTCTCTGAGCTGTGCTTTGCCACCCTGGTACCAGCTTTCTTTTACCAGTGATCCTAACATAGTAAGGAAGGAACACCTTGTATTTAAATGAGGATGCTAAGCTGGGAGGGAGGTGCACACCTGTAATCCCAATACTCGGGAGACGGAGGCAGGCGGCTGGGATGAGCCCAGGAGTCTGAGGCCAGCCTAGGCAACACAGCCAGTACCTTTCTTTTCATAAAGACCCACTGGAAAATTGTCCTTTAGGGTAGTAGTGTTTTAAAGGATGGATTGTTTCTCTTTTGTGAATACTGAGTCATTTGAACATGTTTCTTTCTCTACTTTGGCTTAGGAAACTCAGAGTCAAAATTCTAGCTCCTATGGAAGATCATGTCTGTAAGCTGTTACCCGCCTACACCAATTTTAATTTCTTATCTATCTTCTTTACCCTGAATACCTCAATTATTTATTTTGTAAAAGTTTCTTCTTTCTTGAAGCAACTCTCCTTGTATAAATATCCAGTCTTGTTTCTTACAAGTTCTATCTTCTGCAAAACACTAGAAAACAAACACAGTTCAGCCAAGTTCTTTGCCAAGTCATGACAAGCATCACTTTTTCTCTGGTTTCTGATAACTTATTCCTTATTTCCATCTGGTACCTCATTAGAATGGTTTGGCCTTTTGTATTTCCACAGTCTATTCTTGATCATTTATGTATTCTCTAAATTCTTCTTTTATTCTGAGCACTTACCAAATTACTTTTAAAGCTCCATACACAGGGTTGGGGCTGTAGCTCAGTGGCAGAGTGCTTGCCTAGCATGCTTGAGGCACTGAGTTGGATCCTCAGCACCACATATAAATAAACAAATAAAATAAAGGCATTCTGTCCATCTACAACTACAAAATTTTTTAAAAAACAAATAAATAAAAAAAAGTGGAGCTGGGGTTGTGGCTCAGTGGTAGAGCGCTTGCCTGGCATGCATAAAGCACTGGGTTCGATCCCAGGCACCACATACAAAAATAAATAAATTAATTAAATAAAGGTATTATGTCCATGTACAACTAAAAAAATATTTTAAAATATAAGCAAATAAAAGCTCCATACACAGTAATACTGTATCAGTTTCTAGCCTGCACTTCAAAGCTCTTGCAGCCTCTACTAACTGCCCAATTCCAGGGCTACTTCCACACTTTCATGCACTTGCTATAGCAACAACCCACTTCTTGGGACCCATTTGTCTTTTTTTTTTTTTTTTTTTTTTGTGATACTGAGAATTGAACCCAGGCATACCACTGACCTACATCTGAGCCCTTTCTATTTTTATTTTGAGATAGGGTCTTGCTAAGCTTCCCAAGCTGACCTCAAACTTGCAGTCTTCCTGCCTCAGCCTCCTGAGTTCCTGCAACTACAGATGTGCGCCACCATACCTGGCCTATTGCCTTATTCATTTTTGTTTGACTGATTGGCTGGTTTTTGTTTGTTTGTTTATGTTTGTTTTTGTTTTTGTTTTGCTTTGCTTTGTACTAGGGGTTGAACCCAGAGGCTATTTTCACTGAACTACATCCCCAGTCCTTTTATTTTTTATTTTGAGATGGGGTCTCATTAAGTTGCTTAGGGCCTTGCTAAGTTGCTGGGGCTGGCTTTGACCTTGAGATCCTTCTGCCTCAGCCGCCTGAACTTCTGAAATTACAGGCATGTGCCACTGTGCCCAGCACAATTTTTGTTTTCATTGTTTTGTGACCCTATAACAAATCGACATAGAGTGGTTTAAAAGACACAACAAACATTTATTTCTCAGAGTCCTGGAGGCTAGGAAGTCAATCTAGTGCTGATGAGAAGCCTTTTCCTACTTTGCAGTCACCTTTTCACTGTGTCTTCACATGGCCAAGAGCAAGCTCTCGTGTCTGTTTTATAAGGATACCAGTCCCATTCACATGGACTCCATACCCATCGGCACTCATCTCCTAAAGGCCCTGCCTCCTAATGTCTTCATCTTAGGGTTAGATTTCAACATGTGAATGGGGAGGGGACACAGACACTCGGTCTATATGTCTCTTTGACACATGTGCTAGGCAGCTCATGTATATTACCCCCTTAATCTTCACAGCAAGCCATGAGATCAGGAAGTAGGCTCTGCTTTGCGAAGTAGAAACTGAGTTTGCCAAGTCTAACTCCTTATTCAAGGCCACAGGGACAGCCAGTGAAGAGTTGGGAAGCAAGTTCTGTTCCACAAACCTGGTCCATGTGTCACCATGTCAGCATTCAGCCACCAGCCCTGTGGTAGCTTACAGGCTAACAATTTTCTCTCCTTGGAGCATGGGGTGTCCCAGCAGGGTCCCGCTCCCTGGCAGCACAAGTGAGATGCCCCCAGGTAGCATAACCAGCTAGACAAGAATCACCATGGGGTGGGGGGTGGGGGCAGTCGCCTACATTGTAACAAGTGACCCAAGGGTCACTCAGGCTTCTTTAAGTCCAAGAATCCCTATACTAGCTAGAGTCATGAACTCTGTTGGGACACTGCACACTTTCTTTTCTTTTTAATATTTATCTTTTAGTTATGGGTAAACACAATGTCTTTATTTTACTTTATATGGTGCTGAGGATCAAACCCTCCTCACGCATGCTAGGCAAGCGCTCTACCTCTGATCCACAACCTCAGCCCTACACACACCTTTTCTAACAATTTTCCCTAACCAAACAGGTGTTACTCTGAGCTTCAAGTCTGCCATGTGGCTGACCTTGCTTGTGTGAGATACACTTGTGCTTTTATCACTAATCATGCTTCTTGTATCATCTTTGGTTAATTTCCTTGAAGACATTGCTTCCCAGAGTACTAGTATTTTTTAGCTTGACAAAGAGGAGTGTTAAGGAGAGAGATCCACTGTGCTGCGCTGTCACACAGAAAGGGTGACCTTTGTTCTGTGAAGTTCTAGAATGTAGAGCCACAGTGATGGCGCCTGGTGAAAAGAGGGGGTTTTGCATACTTCCACAGAGTCTGCACAAGAAGCTTATGTTCACCTGGAGACCCAGGGCACTCTGCCCTCAAGCTGCTCTCAGAGGGAAAGATCAGTGTGGACATTCAAAGCGTCTCATCGGGGAGGCAGCAGAACCTCCCCAGGAGAAGCCCTGGCCTGAGCCTTAATGAAAACACAGAGTTGTACAGCTGCAGGTGGACAGGTATCCCAGGCCACGGAGCATGGAGAAACATGAGAGTGAGGACTTGTAGGACTGGGAATGGTTGGCCTGCCTGAGCATGTGAACCAGGTAGACTCCTGTGGAGGTCACCCTGAAGCCACCAGCTGTGAACTGTGTGTCAGCAAGGACTTGGGGTTTGCTCCATTTTCTCCCGGTTCACATCAGACTGGCCTCCAGCTTTTACTGTCATGGGCTGATGGATCCAGAAGTTAAAACTGGAAATTAGGGAGCATCATGATTGCTGTTTGCAGGGAGTTTTCATAGGGGGTTTTATGAGCCCTGTGGTGGCTTACAGCTAACAACTTGCTCTCCTTGGAGCATGGGGGGTCCCAGCAGGGTCCCGCTCCCTGGCAGCACAAGTGAGGTGCCCCAGAGCTGCAGCGCCACCTGTGGCCTGACTGGGCCTGTCTGGTTGTTGCAGTGCAGGCGACCTGGATGGCCTATGACATGGTGGTAATGCGCACCAACCCCACTCTGGCGGAGTCCATGCGCCGGCTAGAAGACGCCTTCCTCAACTGCAAGGAGGAGATGGAGAAGAACTGGCAGGAGCTACTCAGTGAGACCAAGCGCAAGCAGTAGGCCCCGCTGCCCATCCACGCTGCCACCCATCATGCACTGGAGCCACAGAGACGGGCCAGTGACCCAGATACATAGCTGTGTGTACAGCACTTGTTTTTCAATAAACTTATTTTTAAGCACAACCTGAGGACCCTTTCTGTCCTGTGCTGTGACCCACTCAGCTGTCTGCCATATTTTGTGAACTCAGCAAGACAAGGGTAGGATGCAGATGCTTTCAATGGGTGGGACATGTATTTGGTGCAGTTGTGTTGAGCATAAGAAAAAAGAGCCAGACAGAGGCAAGCCAAGTCAGTGCTGGGATAGGCAGCAGCACTCAATCGAATTTATTTACCTGCCTAATGTGGATTTTGAAGTGGGTAGGGAGAGAAAACATTCATTTCTCATGCTGTGTACCCCAGGTCCTGTGCCAGGTAGCCCACTGATGATCACATTCTCACGGCTCTCCTGAGAGGCAGGTGTCCATTATGCCGCTTTTACAGAAAAGGTAAAGATGGGAGGTTAAATGCATTGTTTTGAGTCCACATAACTAAAAAGGGGTTCATTTAGAGGGAAATCTGGGGGAAGGGGATGGGAGCCTGGCAGGGCAGAGAGACCTGCAAGTTGCAGAGGAGCCAAGCAGTCTGTCAGGTCTAGGCAGGGCCGTGTGCAGGGCTCCACCCCCAATCAGACTCAGGAGGAAAGAGTCAGAAGGCTCCTCCAAGGCAGAAGTTCCAGAGGCAAGGGCATCTCCTGGGGACCTCTTTGCCTCCACTTCCACCTGACAGAATACAGGGAGCACAAATAAGCTTTCATCCTCTCCTTCCTTAGCTCTGGGCCCAGGAGTTTCCCAGGAAGATGGGAGCCTGGGAGCAAGCTGAGGCATCCAAAGCAGGTAAGGACCTGGGGCAGGTACCAGCATGGTGTGGGGAGGGTAAGAAGGGAGGTGGAAGGGCTCTCACTCCAGAATAAGTGACAGCCTTTACAGCAGGAGACAAACATAGAAGGAAAAGTGTCCCAGAAACTGGAGCAGAAGGTTCTGACCCCAACCCCACCTCCACGCCCCACACCCCCTCAGACTACCCCAGATGAAAGGTGTCCCTGAAGTACAGTTCTCCACTGGCACTCAGAGTGAGGTCTGCAGCCGGGCCGCAGTGGGCAGAGTCAGGATGAATGGACAGAGGATCCCCTTATTCCCCAGGGGAAAGGGCTGCAGCTCCTTGGCCTGAAACTGCGCAGTCCCCTCAGAGACTGCAAAGGTGGCTGTGACCTGGTGGTTGAGACAGTAAATGGTGTTGCCCAACACAGTACAACGGAGTGGGATGGCCTCAGGCAGTGGCAGGGAGGCAGCACGGCTCCAGGAACCCGTCACCGTGTTGTAGCGCATCACTGCAGCGCCCACACCCCGCAGCAGGTCGAAGCGATACAGGAAGCCCCCTAGTGCCACCATGTCACTGGAGCGCCGGTGGCTGGCACTGTAGGGGCACTCATCCCATGAGTCCTTCACAGGACTGTATCTAAGCAGGCGGTAGAAGAGGTGACCTCCTGTGACATAGATGTCCCCACGGCAGGCCACAGCCTCATGGGCCACAGGGAAGGTGCCTGCAGGGAGGGGAGCACGTAAGGTCCAGGCATCTGTGCGTGGGTCGTAGCGCTCCATGCTGTACAGGCACTCGCCTCCAATAGCATACAGCAGCCCGTCCAGGGCCACCAGCTTGAGCTGGGCTCTGGCTTGCTGCATGGGCCGAACCTGGCTCCAGATGTTGGTCAGAGGGTTGTAGCAAAAGACCTCTTTGGAGCAGACAGCCTTGGCACCAGAGCCACGGATGCCGCCTGCAAGGAACAGGTAGTTGTGCATGGTGCAGAGACCACAGCCCCGGAGGGGGGCTTCCTCCGGCACCTGGGTCAGGGGCCGCCAAATGTTCTCTTGAGGGTTGAACACATGGAGGAATGTTCGATGAGGCAGAGGTGCAGTCTGAGCTTCAGGAGATTCCTCACCACGAGAGCTCTTCTTGAACCCGGAACGGCACACCGGGTAGAGTCTGGGCAGTACAAGGACCCCCAGCCTGGCCTGGCCCTGGCCCGTCCGCAGGCCAAGGATGCGCTCCCGATCAGCCCCACTCAGCTGCCGGTAGAGGTGCGGGTCGCCCAGCACGTGCAGCAGGTTGCTGCTCATCAAGGCATAGGTCTCCTGGGCCAGGCCAGGCTCCCCATGCTGCTGGGCAAAGGCCAGCACCTCCAGGCAGCTGCCCAGGTCTAGCCGCTGGGGACGTTGAACAGCTGTGGCAGCCTCCAAGGCCCACGAGTGGGGCTTCTGGGATCCCTTGACCATCCCCCAACTCCCAGGCCTCTGCAGAAAAACCATGAGTCTTTGGGCCTCTTTCTGCTTCTCTGTGAGGACTCCCCTGCTGCCTGCAGAGCTGGCCTCCTCCCTGAGCACTTGACCCTGGTGCTGCTCTGGGGCCACCTGGCTGACCAGATGCTCAGAGCTCAGGGCTATTTCACACATGCTGTGTTTCCGTGGTCTGGGGATATGCTGAGAATCCCACCTCGTAGCAGAGGGTGGTGCAGAGCCAGACTGCATCTGCACAGAGCGCTGTGTGTGTCCCCCAGGCACTTCAGCTGAGGGCAGTGAGTCTAGACTTTTCTCCTTGGTTCTGTTTTCTTTGGGGCCTAGAGGTGGGCCAGGGGTGGGCTTCCCATTGGTTTCAAAGCCCACTGGCTGCGCCTGACATGGAGTCTTGGCCAGTCCTCCCGCCTGTGTGACAATCCCCAAAGAAGATGGGTGCCTATTCTGGAGGTTGGGGATTTCCCCTTCAGATTGGGAAGCCCCTGGTCTGTGTTCAGAATGGGTGAAAGAGCTGGGACCTGCAGGGCTCACAGGGACTGCCCTTAGGGCGCATCCTTTGGGCTTCTCTTGCCTGGGAAAGGGGTGGCTTCTAAGAACCATGGCAATAAGGTTTCCCCAGCTACTTGTAATCTGCCCTTCGTGGTAGCTCCTGGAGAGACCCACTTTGGACTCTCCAGCCGCAGGGCTTGACCCACCAGCTAAGGCAGGGGCTGGGAGTAAGGTTGGTGATGGGGATGGGCATGGGGTTGAGGCAGGGGTTGAGGCAGGGGCTGAGGCTGTGGGCGGAGCTGAGGCTGCGGCTGCGGCTGCTGATGGGTTTGTCACCGGGAATGGGGCTCTGGGTGGAGAAGGGGCTAGGGTTACTGTTGGAGCTGAAGTGGAAACTTGGTCTGATGAGGAGGCCGGCGCCGCGCTGACATTTTCACCCTCAGAAGGATCCTGGCTGACTCCGTGGGGCAGAGAGTTTGCAGGAGAGGGGCTGGGGGCTGCAGAGAGGAGGCCCACGCCCGACCCATTTGCCTTCGGGGAAGGGCGACCCGCATCCCCGCCCCGAGGCGGGGGCGTGGCTGGACGACCAGTGGAGGGGACGCCACTGTGGCCCTCTACAGTTGGCCTTCCTCGGGGCGGGGTCTGCTGGGGCTCCAGGTCAGCCACCAGGCCACCAGCCGCCCGCTGCCTGCCCTGACGAGGCTGGGACTCCCTCCCTTCTCCCGCTCTGCCCAGCCCGGAGTCGAGCCGGGGGCCGCCGTCTGCTGGGCCCGCAGCCCCGGCCGGACGCGCGCCGCAGGACTCCCCCTGCTCCTCCTCAGGCGAGAAGCCCCACGGCGGCCCCTCCGGCCACTCGCCCGCCGAGTCCAGGGCGCGGCTGAAGTCACCGGTGGGGCTGACCGCTTTCCTCACCCAGGGCCGGCCCTCCGTCGGGGCCGGGACGCCCGCAGCCTCCCGGGGGGCGAGGGCGCGGGTCTCGGGGACCTTGCCAGCCTCGCCCTGGGAGCCCAGGGGCTGGGCTGGGGCCGCCTGGGGGCTGCACTTCTCGCGCCCGCGCTCCGGGCGGTTGGTCCCGGGAGCCGTGAGCGCGGGCTGGGCCTGGGGCAGTGCCTGCTGGGCAGGACCCTTGGCGGAGGCCGACCACCGGGAGCCTGGGCCCGGGCTGCGGGAGCCGGCGTCCATCGCAGCGGCGGACGCAGCGTCTACAGCGTCCCACACACTCACCGCAGCGCCCAGGCGCAGGGGGTCGGGCTTTGGGGGCTGGCAGGTTCGGTCTCCCGAGACAGCGTCGGCCTGACGTCGCCGGCTGCGGCGGACTGTCCCCAGAGAGCCAGGCAGGTACCAGCGGTTGGTGTCCTGTTGCTCTCTGTGGACAGGGGCCGGGCGAGCTGGCCCCTTAGCACCGGCACCACCTGCCCCCGCCTGCAGTTCAGCTTCGCCACCAGAACTCCGAAGGGTGAAGTGGATCAGGAGGGGAGCAGGTGTCGCCCCTGCTTTGCTCCTACCCAGGATAGCAGTGTCTGGCCTGGGGGGCTCCCTTCCTTCACTTCGCTGGGCTCCTGCGGTGGTGTCACCACACCGCTCTCCCAAGGTCCCTCCACTGGTGGCATTTCCAAGAGTACTGAGTGGAGGTCCAGCTGTGACAGCCAAAACTCTGCCAACGAGGGGTTCCTGGTCCTGGGCCGCAGACATAGCAAGGCTCCCCTGACTGGGTCTTGGAGGGTGAGGCTTCTTCTGCCTTTCTCTGTCTCCCTTGCGGCCACCACTGACCTTGGACTCTGGATGCAGAACCAACCTGCCTTCTTGAGTAGACTGGGTCCCCCCGACTGTGGACTTCGGTCCTGCCACTTCCTGATCCTGTCCTGAGCCAAACCAATGCAAAGCCAGTGCTGTGGCAGCCACCACAGCCAGAGCCAGCAGACCAAGCGCAGCACCGTCCCAGTCATCATCACCGTCCCCATCCCAGCCCCAGAGGGGCCCACCAGCCTGGGCACCCTGGATCATGGTACTGGGTGCAGACAGGGTATGAGGAATCCAGTGCTGGTTGGCTGCTGTGCGTGCCCTGCTCACGGTCCTGGGCTGCCCTCTGGGCCAGTGGCATCCTGAGAGCCCCGCCCAGGGCTGCCCTGTTAAGGTGGACCTATTCTCTAGTACCTTGGGAGTCTCTTCCTGCCTGGAGGTTTGTCAGTAGGTCCAGTTGGAGATATCAG